GACCTTCAGCCAGCGGGAAGGGGGTGAAATAGCAGGAAGCATCTCCCATAGGCCTGGCGTCAGGGAGGCTGGACTGTCCTGGAAGAGGGTAAAATGGATCAGGAGGGTGTAGCCACACATGTCCAACAAACCAATTTAATCCTGAGGAAACTGCAGGGAGTGCTAGGAAGAAATTAATGCCTGCAGAAGATTTTTCAGAGAAGATAATTTTTCAAACCTTGATGATTCATTATGTAATTGTATTTTCTTTAAATCTTGAAAAACTTGCTGTTGAGTGAATTAAATTGATCCTATTTAACTGTTCAGCACATTCCTAAAGAATCAGAAAACGCTTTAATATGGAATAGTTTAATGAATTCAAAATGTAAACTTTGTGCCTTGAAATTTGTTATTTGCCCACTAAACAGTGGCCACAGTTTTTACATGAATTCAGAGACTAACTTCTATGGGAAGGCCAGGAAATCAAAGGCAGAAATCTAAGAGGTTTAAATTGCTCCGTCCCTAAGCTCAGATCCCAGACCTCAAATGCACAGGATTATAAATGTCCTGTAAAGTATGGCAGCCCCCAGTGATACATAATGGAATTCTTAATGCTATCAGGGAGCAAGGAGCAAATTTCTTTTAAGAGCACTGAACAGGGGATACAGGCCCTAAGTGAGAGGTACTAAGTGCACTAGCTGCTGTCAATCAATATTTTAACCACTAATTGTCATTTATGCTTTCAGTCCAATGTAAATGAATATCATTATGGCTTATATTTTAAACTAGTTATGGATTCTAATCCTTCAATTTTGAAATGAGAACCATCGAATATCATAATAGATTACCCATTACTATTCCTGGTGAAGCAAAAATATGGTTATAAAGCTGCCACTAATTTTTTATAAGCTTCCTATGACTCTTAATAACAAGAAAAAATATTTTTTATATAATGGATTATTTATACTATTTGGAGTACCATATGTATCTCTGATTGACACAGAGTCTAGCCAAATGCCACACATTTTTTCTTGGTCTCTACAACTCTTAATATGATATTTTAAGGTTAACGACTTGAAAATTATTTCTAACAATAAATATAAAAGAACATTAAACATTCTGCTTGATAACTTTTCTCTGCATTTTTTAAACTGCTCACTTTCTAAGCCCCTGGTATCTCAAATTTTTAAATTAGACTCTCAGGGACATTGATAAAATAGACTCAACATCTATTGAGTCTTCTAAAGAACATTTGACACATGTCAAAGGAATACTGGCAGAAATGCAGATGGCAGAATAGGCTGAAGTATTATAGGAAATTTGATGCTGGGGAAAAACATTTATCACTCTCGATACAGGACAAGTGATACATTATACAAATAGTGAGAGCAAGAGCAGTACTCGGTGGAGTAGGAGAGTTGCTAGCCAAATTCATTGATAAGCATTACATGCAGGTCCACTAAATCTTACACCGTTTCATTACAAGCATAACAAGCATATGTGTGTGTAGCATGGAGACGACTGTCACAGTCTACTCTCAAATGTTCACATCCTTAAGAATAAGAAATTTTAAAAGTTTTTACATCCTTTCTTCTTTTCTTTTCTTCCTTTCCTTTCCTTCCTTCCATCCCTCCCTTCCTTCCTTCCTTCCTTCCTTCCTTCCTTCCTTCCTTCCTTCCTTCCCTTTCCTTCCTTCCATCCCTCCCTTCCTTCCTTCCTTCCTTCCTTCCTTCCTTCCTTCCTTCCTTCCTTCCTTCCTTCCTTTCTTTCTTTCTTTCTTTCTTTCTTCCTTCCTTCCTTCCTTCCTTCCTTCCTTTCTTTCTTTCTTTCTTTCTTTCTTTCTTTCTTTCTTTCTTTCTTTCTTTCTTTCTTTCTTTCTTTCTCTCTTTCTTTCTTTCTTTCGACAGGGTCTTACTCTGTCACCTAGGCTCAAGTGAAGGCTGGAGTGAAGTAGCACAGTCATAGCTCAAAAAGCTTAAGTTTTAAACATAGTTTTGTTTCTTTTCTTCCTCATTGGTTATCATCATGCCCCCTGTTCTTGCAAAAGCTATGAGTTTAATCCTCTAACGGAAAAGGGAATTTGTACAGTGTGGGATGCTGAAAATTCACTCTTTTAGACCTCCTGGAAAAGAGAATCTGGCTAATCCTGAAAGCTTAACCATATGAGGATGCATCCAGATCCCAGAGACACATCCTTTCTCCAGGAAAATTATTGCAATAATTTACTTATTTTTAAATATCTTAGCATCTCTTAGTAAAGAGATGGAGGTTGAATCCCACCTCACCAGTTAACTACATGACTTTCATCTCTCTAAGTTTTCATTTCTTTGTCTGCAAAATGAGAATGCTGGATTTATGATCTTTGAGGCTCCTTCCCCATCTATGAATTCCAAGTTCATTTATAACTGTTGGACAATTAATTCACTTGGCATCTCCTTTCCCCTATCATTAAAAGTGTTTACTAGAGTATCGCATCGTGTTCTTCTGGTGTAGTTTCAGACTATTTTATTACATTACTGACAGAAAGTTCCTAATAAGCATTTAAGATATAACATTTAGGACATCCCTGAAGAAGAAATGTGACAAGTCATGAATGCCACCCATATGGAGTACTTTCAGAAAACATAGGGAGAGTTCTTTCAGGTGAACGTGAACCTTAGTAAGACACACAGAGGAGTGAAGGCACATGGACCAGCCATGAGCGGCTATTCAGTTTTGGAAAGTCCCTTCACTTCTCTGGGATTCAGCTTGTTTCTCTGTAAAATAAAGGGGACAGAGAAGGTAACCTCTAAAATTCTGTGACATCCTAACAATTACGATTCTATGCCAAGAAAAAGTTAAACATCACTAAAATATGTCTTTTCATTGATTTATGTAGTTCAAGATAACTGAAAGATACTCAAAATTTCTAGTAATAGAATACATACACATATACATATCTTCATAATTTTTATAATCCTTTTACATTGCACTGGTTCAGAAGTTGCTTTCAATAACTTTTACATTTAAAAACTCATGAAAGAAGAATAGGAATCAGAGAACCCAACTTAATTCCACTCATAAACTTTAAGCCTTATCTGCCTTAAGAACAGCAATTTAGAGAAATACTACTTCAACAGCAGTGGTCAATGAACTATTATTTTATGATTTCAAGCACAATTTAAAAATATTTCAGAGAGTTTTTCACGATTAAAGGTAATCTGGAATTTTTCAGGTTCAGAAGTAAGAGTTACTGTTTGTATTGTGAATGCAAAATATGTCTGAATTTTAGTAGGTTATCAAAACTTTTACAAAAATAATATCCCCACCATTGAACTTGGTACACGAGTCATAGTTCAATCAAATTCAGGGACGTGAAGAAATCTTTCCCTCTAATAAAGGTTGTCAATCTATTAAATCTGGGTAGTTTTGCTAAAGCACATATGTCCCTTTAATATGATATCAAGAATTACATTGTTTCTGGCGTCTCAGATTCTATTCCACATCCTTGCAGATTACTTATTAGTCAAGTCAAGAGAAAAATTCTGTTCACGATGGAGATAGGCAAATGACAGGAACCTAGGGCTTCATATCTGATGGCATCACTTCCTTTTTGTTTGCTATTTCTCTCCCACCTGATTGTGACTTTTTTCCTCTTAAATGAGAGTTTTCTTGTATCCACTAAGACCCTCAATACTGGCTGGGAATGGTGGCTCATGCCCATAATGCCAGCATTTTGGGAAGCCAAGGTCAGAGGATCTCTTTAGGCCAGGAGTTGGAGACCAGCCTGGGCAACATAGTGAGACTAAATTTTAAAAAATAAATAAAACAATACAGCAAAAAATTTTTAAAAGACCCTCAATACCAAGGAATTTAATTCTGTGCTCTGAATGGATCAGCATATCAGCCTCCTGAGCCTGAAACTTCCACCTTATAGCTCAAGTATCTCACAGTGGGATCCACTTAAGGCTTAGGATTCCTTATGTTCTCAAATCATGACTATACACTGTTAATATCAGGACATCACAAGATTAGCTTATATAATGTGCATTGATCTTGTACCCTGAATCTCAGGCTTAGGAAAGGGTTTCAGGATTTCCAAAATTGCTATAAATTATAGCAATGCCTTGCCTGTTGCCATTGTATTCAAACTTCCCATCCATTATCAGGCTGAGATAAGAGCAGCGAAGTCAACTATTTCATCAGTAACACCAGTTTATTAATAAAAACTGTTGTCTTTCATTTTACTTTAAAAGATGAGAGTACAGACTAGATAATCTCTGTCAGACTTTATTAAACTTTCTGAAAGGAATAATATGGTAAGTTGCCCAGAAAGAGCAGTACTGTAGATGTTAAATATTTTTCCATACCTTGGCCTCCAATAAATAAATGAGAGATACATAACAAATAACACTAGCAATGATAATTATAAATTAGAACATCTGAAATCAGGCTAAGAAGTAAAAAGTACTGCATAAAGAAACTCTCGTTTATTTATAACTTTTTGTTACAAGAAAATTAAACGTTGTTCATATAAATAAAAAGGACTTGGACACAATATTCTCATAAGAGGGGTGGGGTTAGTTTCTGCAAGTTTTCTTTTTGAAATTAGTTGATATAAGAGGATTTACTCCAGACATTTTGAAGTGATGTTTTTTCCAGAACTTTGTAATGTTCATCAGCGCAGCCAGTGAGAGAAGGCTGCTCTTTGTGACTGCAGAGCCATCACTTCCCAACATCATTACAAAAACAAACAGCTCGCCCTCGATTCCCCACATGACAATGGACCCGCATCTGTCAACAGACTCGCATTATGTGCCGTGTGAGAACATGACTATGACATTTGCTCTCGTGACATGGCAAATTTCGGCGGCTTGTCTGGAAAGAGATTAGCAATCATTACGCTGCAGCACCTTTCATCAAGCTAATGACATTTCAATCAGCACATTTTCTCCAGTTTCGGTACTTTGCTATCTGAGCACAAGTCTCTAATTACGCTCAAGCAACAAGTTTCACATCAATCTCCCAATTTATGCACTCACCATACACCATTGCTCCTCCAGTTTCATGCAAGAAGCGGAATCGATGATTTTTAAATAACCAGATTGTCAAAATGGTAAGGATGAGCAAAAAATTGAAGACAAGCAGCTCCACCGCTCCCTGATGTTGAAACTGATACTCATCTTTTTCTGACATAATCCTTGACTGTCTCTCCATTCTCCAGTCTTCTTGAGATTCCTTAGATAAAAACCTGGATAAGGGCTATTTTATCAAGATTTGCCTAAGACAGTCTGACTGCCTGAGAATTTCAGAAGAAACACTGCCACTTTAGCTGCTACTTCACAAGCATTCTGCCCTGGCTTAGTATTCAGATGGCTTCTAGTTACAACTTCCTGTTTCTCTCTTAAAGCAGCCCTGTCTCTTTTCAAATTCCAGAGTGTGTGGTTTCATCACTGACTCTTAATGCCTTTAAATGATTCATCTCATGAAAATATCTTTCATACTGGACAAATCTGCAAGCAACGATTCTAAGATCTTGAATCATGGTCTTCTTGTTCCAAACAAGTCTTCTTAAGCTGCATAAATATGAAACCGTAGATTAATAATAAAAAAGGTAGACTTGCACAAGCAACGTTTTCTAAGTTCCAAAAGCCAATTCCTGATTCAACTTCACCTAAATGTAAGATCTTTCCTCTCTAACCAAAACCTGTCAAAGTGATGGGGATTGATAGCACAGTTATCAATCAGCCTCTGTGCACTAAATGGATCAGCATATTAGCCTCCTGAAAAGATATTACACTGCTTAGCCTCAAACTTCTGCCTCATAGCTCAAGTATCTCACAATGGGATTCACTTAAGGCATAGAGTTTCTTATGCTCTCAAATCATGACTATACATTGTTTAAGCAAACCTAAAGTGATTTCATAGGATTTTTTTTTATTGTTGTAGTTGTTGAGAAGCAAGAAAGGATTTAGTATATGACTCTGTTTGGCTTTATATAACTGATAGCTGCAGAGCAGCATTTAAACTCTAAATCAATTGTTTTTCTTTTAACAAGAGAAAACAATGAAAGCAAAAGACAAATAAAATTCCATCTCCATCTCTACAACTGTACTGTTTGGATATGTTGAGACAAAAAAGAAAAAAAAAAAAACACATAACTTTGAAAGAGAAACTCACATAGCCATCCTTAGCAATGCTGCACGCATGGATTTCTCTTTGTAGGGTTCCCGGTCTAGGCATCCAGGACCCACAGAAATATGCAACAGATCACAACGTCCTCTGTCCTGTGGCAAAACAATGTTGCTCACTGAGAAATGGTTCTGCCACCAGAAATGAAAGCTCTGTATTCACAGGATTCTGACCGTAAGAGTGATGATTCTTCAGATCATCTTCCATGTGGCAGGTTGCTTCTGTTTGATTTCATGTTTTTCTACTTTAAAATAGTTCAAGATAATACCATGCGTTCTGCAACTTTTTTCCCCCCTTTTCTTTCTTTTTTCTTAGCAAATGTTATAACTTGCTTGCTTTTAACACTTGATCCTATAACACATTTGGATATATCCTGGGGTTAAGTGATTTTCTTTTTCATTTTACCATATCATTGGAATTTAGGAGTATTAATCACCCATTATCCCCATTTTGACAGAATAAATACTCAATTTATACAATGTGATTTCTTACTGAGTAGGCTGAGCCCAAATGCATCCTGAAACAATTTTTGTCACTAAAAGCTAAAGGTCAAGCATATAATATTATTGGGAGCTAACTACCTCCTCAACAAACAGTTTCACCATGAGAGTAAATCTGTCAACCCCTTAATACAAAACTCTGCTGTTTCAGCATCTTTGCTTTGTGCAACTTTTGAAGCTTATTTCCTCTCTGAGTTTAACTTAGCAGAGGGTATTTATGTGTGCTGCAGATGTTCTTCTAACACGCTACCCTTTTTGGCAGGAATATCTGTGATGACTAATATTCAAACTGTTTTGAAACCTGTCAGCTAATGCTTGCAAGCATTGCATGGAGCTTTGCTAGCAGGTTCTACCTTTATAATTTTGCAACTCCACAGGTTCAGTCGAGTTGTCAGATATACAAGATAACACAAATTCAAAACCTAGAAACTTCCTGTCTTTTTGTTTTTTGTCATTATGGAATTACTTTGGTTTTCTTTTATCACAGTTATTCCATCTGAGTAGAATAAACATTTTCTGGTTGACCCGTGACATCCAGTTTCACTCTTTTACCCAATGAAACAACTTGACAAAAGATTAATGGCCCATACAATGTTTTGATTGGCTTTTACATCTTTTTAAAAGTTTTAGGTTTGATGTCAACACATTCAAGTCAGTATATTTAACATTTTAAAAAAATCATATGGCTTCTTGCAGGAAACACTTGTAAGATCTGGCACACTGGGCCCTTCTTACATGGCCACAATCTGTTGGGGCTGAGTGGTTGCCTGCTGCATTTGCAACCAGCTTGCCACAAGTCCATTCATCCCTCTTCTTTCATTCGTGGTCCCTGTGTGACTCCTGCAGATATTTGAATGTATCACTCCTGCTTTATTCCAGGAATGGAGTACATTCACTATTTCATTGTTCAGGAAATGTCTCCAATTCCTCCACCCAGAAAAGGAATTCAGTTCTTCCTATTTTGTGTTTTCTTTTTAGAATATCATTTTTTAATTTTGCTGTACCAATATAAGTGAGAAAATAAAATAGAAACATGTAACAATAGAGAGTCTACTATGGACCAGAAAATATGCCAAGGAATTTAATTTAGTCTAATTTAATATGCAGAAAATACTCACCCTTCTCCTGGTGAGTAATTTAAGGCTCAGGGACAGTTGGCAACATAGCCAAGGTCACACAGCCTTTAGCAGTTAAATTACATGTGGGGTGTATTGGCCTTTAGATGGCTTTTCAGCCAGGGTGATCAACTCATCCTAGCTTATCAGGGACTTTCCTGGTCTGCTACTGAAAGTTGTGCATCCCAGGAAACCCCCTCACTCACAGACAAACAAGGGAAGTTGGTCACTCTAACAGCCAAAGTTCCTCAAATTCTCAGATCCTGTACTGTCAATAATCACTATTTTTCATGAGATTCCTGAAGGAGATATTCACAGAAAAAAGAATATCAGTTAAAAATTACATGTTGTTTTATGACCTGGTAACCAGAATCCTTAGTTCCAGGTTCTCAGGTGAAATTGGGATGGACTCAAAACTTAGGCACAAGGACCAAAGAGGAATTCTTGACAGTCCCTAAATCTCAATATTAATACCTGCTGGCCACTGCAAGATACAACATGCAAGTGACAAACAGCAAAGAGAAAGAACAGGATGGCCCAGCCTGTTGCAGTCAGTGTGCCCTGTCTCAGCTTGCCTATCCAGCCACAATGAAAGAAAGAACTGAAGAGTGGAACCTCCCAGGCCAGTGTAACTGCATGGTGCGGTAATCGCACCCACTAGTGAATGGGACCCAATCAACTTTACAGAATCTAACCAATCACTTCTGCGCTCCTGGTTCTTGTAAGAGGTCATTGAAGATTGTGGGGTCAGAGTATCGAGAAGCTAAGTTTGCCTTGGGTAGGGAGAGATACTGAGAAGTCCCCTCTCCAGCTCCCTGGAGCTCCACAATGCCATCTTAGTTCTCTCTCAGCCCTTAGGATTAACAGAGAATGCTTAAGACAACACAGGCCCTGGGTTATAGGAAAATTCCACTGTCTCTTTCATGTGGCCTTTCCCTTACTATTTATCCATCTTTGAGACCAGTGAAATGGAAATTTCATATTTTGCCCCACCCTACTCCAAGCTTCTGAAATGGGCCAGGACAGGACTGTAATTAAGTTTGTTTGAAAGCCACACAATGTCCTCATCCAAAAATCTATCCCCTATCCTATTTTCAAGCTCATCATAGACCTATCTTAGCTGTCCCTACCTGAAAAAAGTCACATGTTAGCATAAATTGCCCCTAAATTTGAGTAATATGGACCCCTCCCATTAGTATATTTCCATAGCAAAATGAAAGTTCAAAAATTTCACAGGTAATTAAATCCCATAATAAACACTTAGACAATATTAAGTCCACCCCAAGTTCACTGTTCAATGCTGGGTTTCTTTTCTTCAGCCTTTACGAAGTCTGGTCTGTGGGATCCAGGGTCATGAACCCAGGATGTGACCCCAAGTCCATGTTCTTTCCACTGCTCTTCATTATAGTGGGAAGGTGAGATTAAAAACCATTGAAAACGAGTGAAATCAGAGAATTTGTATCATTTTATCAAACAATGCAAGTGTAGAAACGTGTGTGGCATGGATAGGGGATCCTTTCCTTCTTCTACCCAACAGGTGCATTCCAGCCATGCTCTGAGGAGGGAAAAATGGGTGAAGACCTCACTGTTTTTCTCTGTGAACTGTTATCTCTGTGTTGATTCTTGATGCTTAGAAGTCCATCACTCAGTGATGACCGGAGAAAAGGGGAATCTTCTTCCACCTGCACTAGAGGCTATTTGGCTGGCCTTGCCCCACCAAACACGTACTGGATGTTATTTAGGCATTCTTGCATTGAAGAGTCCCAAAACTGTATACAGCCAGGTTGAGGCAAATCTGATACAATACCTGTGAGCCAGTCATGTCATCCCTGTGTTATCAAAGGGGGGACCGTCGTACAGCTGAAGCCTGGGGAATGAGGAGGGTCCCAGATGCAAATCCCTTGACTCCAAACTCAGCCCCTCTTCACCCTGTTTCCTGCAATCCCCCCATTTTGTCCTCAGCTTTCTGTCCACAGCACATCATCTCTTTTCCTTTAGAAATGGTACCTCTTCAATAGAAATAATAAACTCCAGTCTATAGGTCCCCTCTTCTGTCTTGCACATCTCGGAAGGCCCATCATGAGAAAAAAAATTCACTCACTGGCTTCTTGTTTTGTTCAATCTCTGCTGGTTCTGCATAAGGCAGAGGTAATGCAGGCTCATCACAGTGGTTGGAACCTACTCCTAACCCAAGATAAAGACTTCAAGGATGAAAAGAAGTGTGAGCTCTGGAACCAAGGTCAAGAAGGAAAAGATGGAGACATGCTACTCCATGCTGCAACTTGTTTTAGCACAAAATTTCTGAAATAAGAGCTGAGAAAATTCATTTCTTTGATCTCCCATTAAGTGTCCAGTGATAAATTTGCATTCTTCTTAGTATATAAGTGCTACTCTATGTCTTGCAAAGTAATAACTCTGACCTCACTAGCTAAAATATACTGTGTGTTAAATTATAAAATTTTTGTATAAACTAGCAAAGAAAGCCATCATGACCCTCACCTCTCCCTGATCTCTACATTTTTCTCTAAAGAGAAAAAGAGACTTAGGAGAGAAGACAGAGCTCCAGATTAGGAGAAGTTGAATACGCTTGGAAATATTTTCTGAAATGAAGTATGTCAA